GTGTGCTGGCGATTAGGTGCTTGACTCTGACTCTGGGTTCGAATCCCGGATGGGACTCAGCCCAAAAGTACTAGAATCTGTACTTTACTAAGAAAGTGTAATCCAAATATAACATGTTAGAATACCCGTGAAGATCCGGGTTAGAATTGTCAGCAATCATGCTTGTCGTAAGACAAGCGACTAACGGGATCGGGTGGTCAGGCTCGCTTGACTTGGTTGACACGTGTCATCGTATCCCATTTGCGTAGAACGATGTTTATGATGTTGAACACTGGATTGTCAGGTCTAGACAATTAGCAAATCGGACATAGATCGATGCTCATGATGTTGATTACTGGATTGTCTGGTCCAGACTCCACTAATTACATCCGCCGCCATATGACTGGAATATTTCTGAGTGTGGCGTTAAAATATATGGTGAGCCCAAAAGGTCAAAATAGCCGTACAAACATACTAACAAACAAACAGAATTATAATATATGGGTGTTGCGATACATTTTTCCATGTGTTGATATGCCATTGATAATGGCGATTACGGGACCGATTGCTCGCACAAAACAAAATACGACCTTATTAAGGTTTTTAATATAAACCTTGATGTTGATGTTGTCAACGTCGACTGAGGGGACATTGTTTGCGGTCCTTGTGATATGAATGGTTTGGGACATAGTGTTTATGTATTTGATACTGGACCTACAGGAGAAGGTCTTGCTAATCTGATCTACAAGGTACAGGAATCCGAGGAGTTTGTATCTATTCGGGAATTATCTCTGGGGGAGAGGGTCGACGTGATCGGCTTCGAGTAAGTACATACAGAATACAACTTTAAAATACATCATGATTATTCAGAAAACAAGTACAGCCAACACCGTACGAATGTCTCGTATTGAAAGGTTGGTTCATTCGTATACTTTCTATGCTCGTTTACTTTTCGGCAGTGTTGAACCCCGGATAACTCGAAGTATGTACCTTGATCCTTCGACGCAACGATTTTTAACTGTATTTGTTGTATAAAAGTCACACATCCCCATTGTTACATCAAAGTCGTAATTACTGGTGAATGTGTAATAGAGCAAACATTTGTTTTGGCAAAAGTGTTCAAATATCACCTCATTGTAATTGCGAAACGAAATTACAGGGGCGGGGGTTAAGGTTCCGAAGACCTGGTTCGTGATTCTCCACACTCATGAGTGCAATGTGTGAGGCCCATGCCTGGTTTCCCCCGCCGTGATATTGCTGGACTATTATGCTAAAGCGGCATAAAACCACACTTACTCACTGACTCAGACAATTACATGCAATGTAGTTGATGTTTCGGGGGTCATGTTAAAATAATTCAGTGAAAACGTCTGTGTCCGTATTCCGGAGTAAGTATTTTCAATGCAATGTCGTGAAAAAAAATATGAATTATGTTATCACCAGTCCACGTGTACATATCATACACACAGCTGCTATTGTGTATTTCCATTCTGTTTTGATAAATATTTCTGATAATGTTACAATAAAGCACAGGTATGAGGCACAGAATTCTCACAAAAATCGCACTCGAAGGTGTGAGAAAACGAGTAACATAAATTAAGCAGCAAACACATTCCATATACGATAATTAATTTCTGTTGTGTTGTTCAATGTTCTAAAATTCAATCTTTACGTTCAAAAGCACATATGTACATGGCAACACATTTTGTTTGGTGTTGTCCGATATCAAAATCCGGAAAACATTTGATTTTCTTTACTTCTCAAGGAAAGATTTCTCTAAAGGGAAATAACCTTGGTATCTCAGTTACCGTCATTTGCATGAATACATTGAATATTAATGACTTTATCTTAAAGTCGTAGTTGCTACAGCAACATGTGTTTTGAAATTAATGATAAAGTTAATGTTGGCGCAGCTTCTGACAAAACAAACACGAAGCCTGTCAGGTTTCTAGGTCAAAATGTCACGTGATGAAAATATTTATAAACAGTTTGTACAAAAGTGAGACCTGAAAACGAAACAGGAAACTTCAGAAATAATTTTCTTTCGCCACAATTCGATTTCGCCATAAAACCATCAAGAAAGGAACTTGTAAGGCGTGTGATTGGACAAAGTCATCCATGTGTGACCAATTCATTGATCTGGGTGTTTGTTTTGTGTGACCAGCAAAGGATAACGTCTTCATTGTCCAACTTAACCAGCTTTGAAATGTTATCAAGTTAAAATCGTCTTGTTACTTACTTGCTGAAACTATTTTGTCCTAAAATCTTGAACTGATCCTGAAATGTTCCTGAGACATTAAGTTCTCATTTAGGAACTGTGAGTATAACAGGAACAGGGTATAGTATAATACATGTTCTGCATGATCTAGTTGTTTGTTTGTTGTTTTACGCCGCACTCAGCATTATTCCAGCTAAATGGTGGCGGGCTGTAATAAATCGAGTCTGGACCAGACAATCCAGTGATCAACATCACGAACATCTATCTACGAAATCGGGGTACGATGACATGTGTCAACCAAGTCAACGAGCCAGGGCCTATATTTTCGAAGCTCTCTTAGCGCTAAGATAATCGTAAGTTAATGTTAATGTATGGCACTTACGACTATCTTAGCGCTAAGAGAGCTTCGAAAATATAGGCCCTGGCGTGCTCTAGTAGTCGTTACGGCCTGACACAATTAACCATTCATCAATTGGTCAGCCAAGACTTATCAACAAGGATATATAACACTATCAAAATAGACGCAGAGCTGAGATGAAATCACACTTCCGATCTGGATGCTTCCACTGTCACACTGAGGAAGTATCTACTTGTGTATACGTATATAGAGGATACAGTTAATCAATTAACTGGCATGCATAGCTGTTGACAACATCTCTATATATAGCAATATGTTGCTAATTTAGTTAACTTGGAAAGGCGTTTGCGCGGAGTTAGTGACAATTGACATCCATTTTCCTCGGGAAGTCGGTAAAGACGACTGACTGACTGACTGACTGAGTTTGGTTTTACGCCGCTTTTAGCAATATTCCAGCAACATCACGGCGGGGGACACCAGAAATGGGCTTCACAAATTGTACCCATGTGGGGATTCGAACCAGGGTCTTCAGCGTGACGAGCCAACGCTTTAGCCACTAGGCTACCCCACCGCCCCCGGTAAAGACGAAGAGCCGAGTTCGATTCTTGAGTGGTTTCAAAAGGTGAAGTCGTTTCTTGGTGTCTTCGACGTGATGGAATAATACTAACATATGTCTCCAAGCAGTGTTAAACTGCAACCACTCACTCATATGTATGTGTGTGCTTGTGTGTACGCCAACGCGTGTCCGCGTGAGTGTGTGTGTCTTACAGGTGTGTGTTCTTGCTTTGGTTCCTTGAACTTGATGGCAGAACGACTAACAAGAACTGTCTTTTTGTTCTGGGTCAGATATGCACATTTCCCAGCAAAATATACATTTCAGGGTCGATAAATAACAGTTCAATAAATAAAAAAGTTTTCTTTTAAGAGGAATAAAGTTTTAATGAAGGATACAGGGTCAGATTTGCACATTTCCCAGCAAAATATACATTTCAGGGTCGATAAATAACAGTTCAATAAATGAAAAAGAAATCCTTTAAAATAAATTAAGTGTTTTATGCGCCATCGAACTTTTGAACAGCTGCCGTAGTTATTTCACAGTATAGTTATCACGTGTATCGCCCTCGCTCGACCTCCAATCACTATCTGTGCGGATACAGCGGAGCTTTCTAAATGTCACTGTGATATACAATTGGAGATGAAACGCGCTCTGTAACAACCTGCAATTTTCATAACAATACCTTCACTAACGATAGCTACACTAGACATACTCATAGTTTCAGATTCGCCACAGAATATGGATGTAAGTGCACAAAATACGTAACGTTGTGTCTCACTCACTCACTCTAAAACAATGTCCTCTCACAACAGGGCAGTGTAGTAGCCTAGTGGCTAAAGCGTTCTCTGGTCACGCCAAAGACCCGGGTTCGAATTCTCACATGAGTACAATGTGGGAAGCCCATTTCTGGTGTCCCTCTCTGTGATATTGCTGAAATGCATGTATTGCTAAATGCGGCGTAAAACTAAACTCACCCCCTCACTACATGGGACGAGGGGAAGAAGGTAACAGAGTCTTCTTCAGTAAGCGGCACTATTTAAGACAGCTTTAATTAGAACGTCGAGACCAAAACCGGGAAAGAACACCGTACAAGCTGGAGTCTCCCTTGAAGTCATGCAGATAGCTACGCCATCAATTATTAAAGTAGTAGAGATAAAATTTTACGTCGCGACGGCATTTTTTCAGCCATATAACGCCCATCGGTGATATAAAAACTGCAATTTCTTCATCTACATAACATTGCCAGAATGTATAATTTAAAATGCTCACGTTCCGCAATCGAGGCAAGGTACTTACATCATTAGGCTACACCAGCGTCTGTGATTACCCCGGACAATTTACATTCTCAACTCCCTGGGGAATATTCAGCCCAAGCTGCTCGAAAGTGAAAAGTCTCATCTCACCCTAACGGGTCCCCATTCACTGCTGGGCATATGTTGAACAAAGTATCTTTCCTAAGGAGACCGACCTGGTGGTCACAATTTCCATTCAGCGGAACCTGACTTTTAAGGATGTTGCAGACAATCAACCTTTGGTTTCACTCCATTATATACTATTCAAAAGACGTTCAAGTACACCTGACATTTTTAAGGTGACTTTTAAATTTTGGTGTTGTTTGATATTTGTTCACTCTAATGTTTAGGTTTGGGTAAATTACGCAATTTCTTGTCACAGGTATGGAACAATGATTGAACATTTACTGTGTGACCCTATGGTGCTTATCTTCCGACCTTCATACCCTATGGTGCTTATCTTCCGACCTTCATACCTAGTGCTAGTCACTACAAATGATAGCCTAATCATATCACTGATCATATAGACAAACTGACGAACGACAGGTAGTTGAAGTCGGCAGAGCCATTTTGATATCCTATTTCGCTTCCTGTTCCTACTTTTAGATTCATGTTGACAATGGCGGGTCGCATGCTCAACTCGAAGGCTACTACAACAAGGAAGTGATACCATGCCGATAGGAAGGTAGCACAGTCATGGGGGATTTCTCGTGGAAAGCAGCCAGGAGGAAATACGGCGTTGGTAAGTGGAATCATACTATATACAGTTTTAATTACAACCCGATCTGACTGACGAGGCGAGAAGTGGTCTCGACAGCTGACAGTGACACTGACAGTTCATTCACAAGACACACTACTACGGGAATATTATGCCACTTGTTACATCCGTGGGTTGTGTATTTCTAGACAATATCTTTAGATACTATGTGGAGATCTGTGTGATACTGCTTCGTTGATTATGATATATTTACAAGTTATCCACTGATAGCATGGGAAAACCACACGTGTAGAGTATGTACAATATCATTGTGTTAACACCACTAACAGATAACACTGGCACTATGAACACTGTTGCGTGGTAAACTATTGAATAACAATTTTTATCACATTCAGTCCCGAAAACGTTGTATCTGGAGATGATGTAGCTAGACTCTAATTTGTATGAGTATATTAGTCACATATATTCTCACACTAACATACAAATTAGCCATTGATATGAATGTTTTCTGTATCTAATATATGAAAAATATCACTTGATATCTTAAAAGAAAAGCCAGAATTTCGTTAGTTGGCACTATTGGCACTGATTGGCACTATTAAGTGACAGTATTTTGGATATTACTGTGTCAATGAATCATGCCAGTTTTGTGAATATTTATGTCATGATTAATCATCATTAGTAGGAAAATGACAAATGACTGTCTAATGTTTTTAATGTGTTATTTAGTCTTTTTTATATATTTTGCTGGATCTTGCAATAACGTATAATAATAAGATAAAGGAAGACTCAGTGTGGTGCATATTGTGTTTTATTACCTACAAGGGCAAACATATCGGGGTTCATGTTTTTCATACGATGCCTTAGGGTAAAATATCACTTTGTCATGGTAACGTGACGTCATGAACAATGCTATGCCATCACGTTTCTTCTGTGACGTTGCGTTCTACATGCGGTGATGGCGGGTAGCCAGCCTATGTTTGAAAGTAGATTTGGGTTTATTTTCCTCAATTTGACGACTTCGGTAATATATAGAATATTATATGAGTGCCCATATCATACTATGTTTACGACACTCGTGCCTAAATATCGGTATATTCCTAGCTTTTGCTCGGGAAATACCAAAATTTAGGCACTCGTGTCGTAAACATAGTATGACATGGGCACTCATATAATATCCTCTATATAATAAGGTTAATAATAAGGTTGCTTATTTAGCCCTTAATTCCATACATATGTATTCTCATAGCACGACAGGGAGGTTGGAAAGTACATGTCAGAGTAGCACAGGTGGAACACAAAGTGCTAGTTGAATAAGAACATCTTGAGCTGACGTTTGAATTGGGTCACTGAAGGTATAGTGTTGTCAAACCAGTCATCATCTGACTGTCACAATTATGACCATGATATTTCTCGGCATGAAATAAGGATTCTTCACACCTTCACACACATGAATACAAGAAAGCCGTTAACAGGGACCAAGGCATCAACCTGCCCACTGCCCACTCTACTGTGTCATATCAGTGTGTTTGTGTGCATATATGGGTGTGTGTGTGTGTGCTTGTATGTTAAGAAAATTGTCTTGGTTTAGTATAGTCGTAATTCAAGAATCCTAAATAGCCTGATCCTGGCATGGTTTTGGCATTTTCAAATGGGTGTGTAAGTCAGTTTGCCTTCCTAAGCACTATCTAACCTGAATTATGGTGTACCTATCAAACAGTAAGTTTGCCCTGAATAATATTTATCTAATACCAATCTGTTCTGAACTATTGTATGTCAAAGTAACCAGGAAATATAATGAGAAGTCCAACCAGCATGTGTCAGCCCTATTTCTGAATACACTATGAGTTGATTGTATACAGGTATGCATGGATAACTTTCACAACCAAATAGCATAATAACAGTGTGTATTTACCAAATGTGGCATTAGCATGTTTTCCTATGAGATCTATATTTACTAGTGAAATGCCGTCTTCACCCAATAGGAGTCACTCTAGCACCCTGGAGTCACCAACCCTTGCCACACCATGGTCTAGCTGCTGCAGCAGCTTGTCTTTTTGTGATGTAACTTTTATTTATGGTTGGCATGTTGTGTTTAAGTTAATATGTTTATAGAGTTGTATCATTTCTTACAGAAAGATTATATTGCTCATCACTCACTCACTCACTCACGTATGTTTTGTTATGTGTGCCTTAACTGGTATAGGTCTAAGAAAATTGAACTTTGGGGTTGTGATACACCTTGTCCTGCTTGTTGTAACAGAAATATGTATCGCCATAATGAGGCGATGTGAAATGCTTGGTCAGCACATGAATAGATGCAGTTTATTAGTTGTCTGATACTGTTTCTGAGCAGAATTATTAATGGTGTTTAGAACTATCTGTTCATTGGTTAAAAGTACCCAGCAGAGTGAACCAAGGGAATCTGGATGATGATTAATGATTATGATGAGGAGTTTGTAATTTCAGATTTTAAGAGTGCTTCAAGAAGACCCAGTTTTGCACTTGGGCTAAATGATTAAAAACAATAATTACCTGAAGAAAGACTTAGAGATCCAGTGACATTGAGAATGTATGTACCATGTAAGTCAATAAATATATTTTCGCTTTTATAGGAAATAGAAATGTTATTTATTTCCAGTGTTTTGTTTGTTTACCCCTAGGCAAAAGTCAATAAATATATGGAGTGTTCACTGACACTACTTCAGTTGCATGGAGTGTTCACTGACACTACTTCAGTTGCATGGAGTGTTCACTGACACTACTTCAGTTGCATGGAGTGTTCACTGACACTACTTCAGTTGCATGGAGTGTTCACTGACACTACTTCAGTTGCATGTTCACTGACACTACTTCAGTTGCATGGAGTGTTCACTGACACTACTTCAGTTGCATGGAGTGTTCACTGACACTACTTCAGTTGCATGGAGTGTTCACTGACACTACTTCAGTTGCTAATCTTTCTCCACTACACAGAGATCTAGTGTCATGGACTCACCTTATCTCAGACTCGTGATTGTTGCATGGAGTGTTCACTGACACTACCTAGTTGCATGGAGTGTTCAACATGAACATGTGTCCCATGACTCACCTTATCTCAGACTCGTGGTTGCACCTACTCAACATGAACATGTGTCATGTCTGAATATACGCAGTGTTTAAATTGGTCAGGTAATGGTGATGTCTGTATATTTGAAGGAATAAGAATTAACTCCAAAATATCGTGTTTATCCGCAGACATCTTGCCTCTAGTGAAACAGTGTTTGTCAGTGTGAAATGACATAAGCAATTATAGATAATCAATGTTGAAAGAGAGAAGTTATTTTTTGAGAGGGGATTGATCTGTTGATTAATAATGGTTTATTTTAGGGCTGCCTGAAATGATCGATAATCAGAAATTCTGTTGATAGGAAAATATATTAATGATTATCGATATGAAAATTGTGTTATCAGTAATATCGTATATTAGCTTTTGTGATTGAAAAAAGTTGGCAGAGTGTAGATTTACAACTACACAACAGTTCCTATCATTCCTGCCATGTCCGTATGATTGAATTACTACACATGAGGCCTTACATTTCTACTATTTGGTTTACAGATGGTAAATATATAAATTTCAGAAAGAAATGAATTAAAAAATGACAGTTCTTTTATATTGCACTTATGGTAAATTTTACTTTTACAATACAAATGACCGTGACATCTACTGTTATCCCTGGTCGGATGTTAGATATACAATGTTTGTGAGGTCACTCACCAGGCCCGGCTGAAGCCCATTTTGGTGTCCCCTACCGTGATATTGCTGGAATATTGCTAAAAGCAGTGTAAAACTAAACTCACTCACTCACTCACTCACTCGCTCGCTCGCTCAGCTCACTCACCAGGCCCAGCTGATATATTTTTATCACCTATCAATCCAAATCAAAGTTTTAAAACCCAGATAAATTTCAAAATTAAAGTTAAATTTTAAAAGTAGTGCACTAAGATTTCACTATCGGAATTTGTAAAGCCTACTGATAAAAGACCTGGTCTGAGTGAGTGGGTTCACTTATGCCCTGACAATGCTATCACAAACAAACACTTTGTGGACTGCATATTGTACAAAGTTTCACCGTTCACTCAGTGATTTATCTAGGCAGGGATTTACAGGACGCAAATTTCTGCATCCTGTACACATAAAAATTGGCAATGGATGCAACAAAATTTATTAGTGCATCCACTGGGACGCAGAAAAAGTCCAAATACTTTTTGTAAAAATTTCAACCAAGTAACAATAAGTTATCAAAGGGTTTGCTACTAACTGGGTTATGGTATCATTTGCAGTTCAATTACTGTAGCAATAATGTGATGATCATGATACACCGGACAACAGCACTATTAATAATAATATTTAAGTGTATGGAGCCCCCATTTTGTTGTCCAGGACCCCTGAAATTTAGGAGTATGAGTCCCAGGGACCCTCAAAAACAGGACTCAAGGTAAATCTCTGCTAGGCCTGATTAGAGGCCAGTACTCCACCTCAGGCCTGCGGTAAATGTCAATATAATATCTAACCTGGAAATTAGGGTGAGTGAGTATGATTTTATGCTGCTTTTAGCACTATTCCAGCAATATCATGGCAGGAAATAGGCTTCACACATTGTACCCATGTGGGGAATCAAACCCAGGCCTCCCGCGTAATGAGCGAACACTATAACCACTAGGCTATCCCTGGAAATTAAGAAATTCCCTAGTCATGTTAATGCAGTTGTTACTAATCTTATTGTTAAAGCTCTGTAGAGGTGACATGTCTTTTCTAATTCTAGGATCAATAGTGGAACAGGCTTGTATGCTTCATGTCATTGCACAACACAACTTCCCTAGAATTAGGCAGTGGCAGATTGGCAGTCCCAAATCTAATTTGTTCTACCAGTACAATTACAATGTCTGAAACTAGGCAGAAAATGTGTGTATCAGACAGAACTGCATATTTGCTGGGTCACTCAGTGCACAAAGCAGGACAAGTTTATCCTGGTATTGGTAAG